TATAGTCCAGCTTCTCAGATTATTTACTCAACATACTGATTGAATAAATATGGTGAGAGAATACAACCCTGATGCACACCATTCCTGATTTTAAATTATGATAAATACAGTTTTAATGTGAACAGTATATATTTCAATAATGAAAACAAAAACAGTGGAAGACGGAATAGCATATCCATTCAAAATCATTGGCAATTCAGTCACTGTTATCTTGTAAAACTCACCTGACTGTTCCAAGGAGGCCAATGATAATACCTTCTTTACAGAGTTGTTTGCTGTATTATGTACATAATATATAGACCTAAATTTCTAGTTTTTTCAAAAGGGTAGTAAAAAAGATCATTGCATTGCCAGAATTTTGTATAAACTTAAATTTTCTATAATAAATACATCAGCCATGCCACTAGGTACATTACTTTATTTCAGAATAATGAATGGCTAACAGCTAGTGTTTAGTATGTGTTGGCACCCTTCTAAGTGATACATACATTTGCTCATTTAATCTTCATGATATCTGTGTGAAATCTGTATCATTGCTGTCATCCTCATTTTAAAAATGAGAAAGCAGACAGGATAAGCAAATCACTCAAGGTCACACAGCTCATAAGCAGTAGAGTCAGGATTCAACCCAGACCATGTGGTTCTAGTATCTGTGCACTTTTAACAATTATACTTCACAAAATATAAAAATCAAAGAGGCCACATAATGGGCCACAAATAGCTTAAGAGAAAATAGGAAAAATGCAATATGAATGAAGTTTCACCTAAATAGCATAGTGGTCTAGAACGTGGGCTGTATTATAAAATAATATTTGCCCTAATTTCTGGGTAACACAGTTTATGCTTGACTGCTAACGTAAAAGTTGGTGATTGGAACCCACCCAGCAGCATCATGGAAGAAAGACTTGGAGATCTACTTCCATAAAGATACAGCCAAGAAAACCCTATGGAGCACTTCTACTCTGTAACACATGGAATCATCATGAGTCAGAATTGACTTCATGGCAATATGTTTGGTTTTTGGTTTGGTTAATCCCAGCTCTGCTTCTTTTGCCTGAGAGAACTCAGGTTGTAATTTAAGCTCTTTCAATTTTAGCTTCCACATCTATTAAAGGGGAGGTAGTATCAGTGCTTAACTAATGGTGTGAGGATTAACCAAAGAAAAACAGTTTCCCTTGTCTATATTCCGACTCATGGCTACCCTATGTGTGTGGAGTAGAATGGCACATCATACAGTTTTCAAGGTTGTGACCTTTCAGAAACAAATCGCTGGGTTTGAACTGCCAACTTTTTGGTTAGTAGCTCAGCACTTAACTGTTTGTGTCACCCAGGGATTCCTGGATGTGAGGATTAAGGGCCTTCATATCTGTGAAGTATAATTAGCCTTGTGAATATTCAATATAATCATTATTCATCTGAAAACAAGAGCCTTCATAAGTACTTTATGCTCAAGCTCTCTTTCTTAAAAGAGATAAAGAAAAAGAGAGAACAATCAATGATCCGCCTAGTGACTGGTCCCAGATGTATGAGTCAGAGAGCAATTAAAGAGGTCATGAAGAGCTGAAAAAACATTCCAAAGGCTACTTATTTTGGCTCTCCACAGACTCAAAAGTGGTCTCAACTTATTTTACATTCCATCTGTTCTCTTGAATCAGCAGATCCTGTTGGTAGTCTGAGATCTATGATCAGGCCAGTAGGTTTTAAAACAATCCCAGAAGTTCCTCTTTTTAATTCTGGTTGAATTGTGCAATATATATCAGTATCTACACCTGTATCTCTCTGTCTACCTATCTATCAGCCTATCTATCTATCTGTCTGTCTATCAATCTATGTCATAAACTCCATTTGATGTTTTTAACCATGCAAAAACTTCATTTATTGTTGCTTATCTACATGTTTCTGTTCCTTTCATAATTTTTATTTGTAATGACACTTTTGACATTATTTAAATCAGTACTGACATTATATCCTGCTGTAAGTATAGCCTAGATTGTTCAAACCCTCCGCTCAGACAGCAACCTGTCCAATATCTACAAATAAACATCCAGTGGGAAGGATTTAATTTTGGAAAATGAACCCGTCACCAAAGCATACTGCTAAGCATTCAGTGTGTCTTGTCTGCTATAAATATATTCTAAATTACCACCATCTTTGCTAATAGTTAAATAAATTAAATTACAATAAAGTATAAATGAACGTATTTATGCCTTTCACTGGCAAGACTTCGATGATTTAAAAAGCAGCTGCGAGTGGAGAAGTGGAGCACTTAGAGAAGATGATTACACAGCATTCCTCCAAACTGCCAGCTTGAACAGATGAAGCCTTCATGGC